CCCCGCGGCGCCCTCTGATTACAGCTTCTACAACCTGACTCAGTGTAAATTCTGCAGCATTTTTCCGGGAGAAAAAAAAAATGGGCCCCGCGCTTTCCCTTCACCGCGTCCGCTGTGCAAAAGCCATTATTATGACTCTGGACGGCGAACACGAGTGAAAATGTATCAATTTGCTTTTTAATCTCCCTAATTAAATCCCCTCGTTATCTTCTCACCGTTCCCCGTGATCGAACCCACAGCTGCTTAATAATTAAAGGGCCACGCTCATTAAATATCCTTGCATAATTCTCCTTCTGCCTTGCCACAACCCGCATTAAAGCGCCGCGCCTCGCTTTTATTTTGTCTCGTCTTTTCCTGTTCCAAGAGTATTCTTTCTTTCAGGTTGACAAGACATTAACCTGATGCAAAGCCACTTTATTTTTCTTTTGTGGGAATATATTGAAAATTGAGCGTTAACTTGATTCTGTGCGTAAAGAAGGAAATTGCTTTGAATCCGGGGACTGTTTGCTGCTATTGGCATTCCACTATTCTTTGTAGTGGTTCATAGCTGATATGCAACCCACTCCCCAGCACCCATTCAGGACACCCCAGCCTATGCAATTACCGAGCAAGGAGAGGCCCGGTGCCACCCTGGCAGGGCCCGATTTCCCACAAGGCCAACCAAAGCTCGGCCTTGGGGCAGCAGGGAGTAGAGGGACAGCAGGGGTGTGGAATTCCTATCTCCCAATGCCTGGGGCATGCAGTTCCGGGCGCCGGGCGGGTAGTTGTTTTCTACATTTACCCCTGCTTTGGGCAAGCAGGGCTAAATGTACAGTGGGGAAGCCGCCACTTGTTTTGTACAAGTGATCCCGGCGATGTCGCTGAGATCACTTGTATGCAGCCTGCAGGTCTGCCATTCTCCATGAGGGGGGGTTCGAGTAGGGGGGCGCATTAAGGAACCTGGCCTTGGGGCAGTAGAGTGAGTAAATCCGGCCCTGCATCCTGGGAGCCATAAATTTACTATATCTTCCAGTCCTGTTTACCTGCAGCTAGGTTTACCAACTTGCTGTCTTTCAGGAGACTGGCTGTGAACAAAAAGTCTTCTCACCAATGTAATTAATAGGTCAGCGGTCATAGGGCCAAAATCCCTTTACCTCGAAAAGGCAGCTTTTTTTTAGCTGGGAGTGTTTTGACACTCATATCAACTAGACTCCTGGTGTCATTCTAAAGCTTAATAGGTATCCCACAGCCAGTGGCGTAACTATAGCCATAGCAGCTCAGGTGGCTACTATGGGGCCTGGGGGTGGAAGGGGGGCCCCATTAGGTTGTTGAGGCAAATTAAACATAGAAAATGTGAACTCGCTGCTCAGAGAGGGCCCCCCCATCACATTTTTGCTATGGGGCCCCATGATCTGCAGATAAGGCCCTGCCCACAGCACTCCTTAACGGTAAACCCCTTGAGCTGGGTGCTGAAATGACTGCAGATGGCGCCGCTCCAAACAACATAGAAAACAAGATGTCACCAACACACCGAAGAAATTAGAAAACGTATTTCATTCATGCATTTTGTCACAAGATTGGCAACGTTTCGGCACCACCCAGGGTTCCTTCCTCATGTCCCTTCCTCCCTTCCTTAGGCTCAGGTCATACTGAACCTAAGGAAGGAACCCTGTGCGGTCCCGTAACATTGGCAATTTTGTGACAATATCTATCAATAAAAGACGTTTGCTTGAGCACATTGCTATACTGTGCTGGTGGCATCTTGTTTTCTGTTATTCTGAAGCTTAAGTTACATGATTAAATTATACCGGTGCTGGTTACTGTGGTAAAACTAAGGGGAAGGTTGGCTGGGACTCTCCATAAATGTCAACCAAAATGGTATCTGCCTCTGTAGTTGATAGAATGGTCTCCAGATGACAACCAAGTTGACTTTCACTTTTCTGGGTTGATGGAAACATCTCAAGTCAAGGTCAACCAAAATGTCTTTCCTCTCCAGAGTTGGCAGATCTGTTCCTGAATGTTAACTAAAATTGCTTCTTCCTCGTAGTTTGATAAAATAGTCCCTAGAAATCAACCAACATTGCTTAAATCTCCTGGGTTGATAGAACAGTACCCAGATGCCAATCCAAATGGCTTCTTCCTTCTGTGTTGATGGAAATTTCCCCAGATATTAAACAAAATGTCTTCTACCTCCAGCGTTGGTAAAACTATTCCTGGATGTCAGCCAAAATGGCTCCTTTTGGGTTGATATAAGAGTCGCTAGACATTAGCCAAATTGGCTTCCACCTCCTGGGCTGATAGAAAGGTCCCTAGGTGTTAACCCAAGTGGATTGCGCTGCTGAGTAGATAGAACAGTCCCCAGATGTCAACTAAAATGGCTTCTGCTTACTAGGATGATAGAACCGATGCCAGATGTCATCCAAAATATTGTGAACCTTCTGGGTTCCTTAGACTTCAACCAAAATGGCTTTCACGTCTTGGTTATATGCCTATGGCTGTGGATGGCAGTTAAGCATGATGTTTCACTGATTCTGGTCGTATCCAATTTTTATACAGCAAATAACTAGTTTCAGGTCATTATGCCACCCTTGAGTCCTCATATCTATCCATCATGCTTAAGGCCTGAAGAGGGTAGAGCTCTTTGAACCCCCAAAACGCGTTGGCTGTTCTATCCCGTCTTTTTGCGAGCAAACATCAATATTAAATGCTTTTGGACTGTCGGGCTTTTGGTTTGTCGCTCTCAATGGACCTTGTACATGTGGTAGTAAAGCAGGCAGCCATCTTGTTGATGTTTGCTTGGCGTTTGCAGCCTTACTTGTAGGTTTTTACTTGTCTACAAGGCCTGCGAGGTGCTGAGTCAACGATGAAGCCATTTTACAGAGACAGCTGCTGTTTGTTGGGCGGTCGGTGGCTGTCTCGTTATACCTCAGCGCAGAGTTTTGTGTTACAGGCCGCCGCTGTGACCTTGTCCGTCTGGATGAGGTCTCTGTCCTGTGAAGCCTCAGCAAGATGACTAAATATACCCTCGTTCTTGTTAACACTTCCACATGTAGCTCCACCTCTGAGACGACGGTTCAGGAAAAACGCAGTTTATTTTGTAATAAATATCATTATCTATGCCGTTATTTGTTGTTTTTAAAGCTACATACATGACATGATGAGCTGTGTGTGTACATAAGATATATCTATGTCATACTTACCAACATTATCGACCCGGATCCCAGGGCACTGTTAATCCTGCCCCTCGACCCACATTTCACGGTGCCAATACTGGGCATTTTCACGAGTACTCATGAAAATGCCTCGATACTAAACGCCGATACCGGTGCTTTAAATGTTTAAACCCGTGCTTGCTGGGGACCTCACGGCAGCCTGCTGGGGACCTTCGTGATGGCTGTTTACAGTGCCGGCCCGGCCGCACACCTTCTTCTCCTCCTTCCCACCGCCCGCACAGCCATGGTGAGACCCCACACAGCTTTCTGAGACCCCGTGAGCAACACAGAGTATGTAGCTTCATATTGTTCTGCATTGCTGTTTAATGTATTGCTGGGATTTGTAGTCCTCTATCGCTGCTGGTATTCCGCATTGCTATATAATGTATTGCTGGGATTTGTAGTCGTCTATAGCTGATGGTATTATTCTGCATTGCTGTATAATGTATTGCTGGGATATGTAGTTCTCTATAGCTGATGGTATTATTCTGCATTGCTGTGTAATGCATTCCTGGGATAATTAGTCCTCTATAGCTGATGGTATTATTGTACATTGCTGTATAATATATTGCTGGGATTTGTAGTCCTCTATAGCTGATGGTATTATTCTGCATTGCTGTATAATGTATTGCTGGGATTTGTAGTCCTCTATAGCTGATGGTATTATTCTGCATTGCTGTATAATGTATTGCTGGGATTTGTAGTCCTCTATAGCTGATGGTATTATTCTGCATTGCTGTATAATGTATTGTTGGGATTTGTGGTCCCTCTACACTTTGGAGTCAGTGGCAGAACTACAAGGGTTGCAGAAGTTGCAGCTGTGACCAGACCCTGGCACTCCACCACTGCCCTAAAATCATTAGTCTTGTTTTAGAAAAGCTGTCACATGACACTAAAACAAAGTATCGGTAATTGGTATCGGTGAGTAATTGAGGAAAGGTATCGGTAGTCGTACTCAGTCTTGATCTATCTATATACTGTATATTCTATAGATAGATAGATAGATAGATAGATAGATAGATAGATAGATAGATAGATAGATAGATCTAAGGAACCTGAAAAAGGCTATAGTTCCTCTTTAGGCTCTCACATGTAAAAACTGTGCCTAGAGGACATGTGCCTGATTCATCAAGCTGCAATAGCTTTCAAGGCATGCTAGAATGGCATACAGTAATGTAGGTTTGGCGTGCCTTCAGTGCATGTAAAGGAACCTTAAATACTGAATCTGTATATCGGGGCCATAGAGATTCCCATGCGGTTAGTAGAGTTCAGATCTGTGAGCTTTGGTGCAATGTGTCCAGAAAGTAATACATGACAAAGCACAGCTCTGTGCACCATTCAATGCAGTTACGTTTTCCTTTTAGAATAATGAAATGTATTGTTACATACAACTAGTATAAGTACATGAATCCGTCTTCATATCAGGCTGTCATTCCTGCATTGCAATAGTAAGGCAAGGAAAGGACCAACCATGCTAGTAGCCACTCAGGCTCTACTGCATGCACATGTGGAGACAGGGAATGTAATTACAGGAGGAGAGGGCAGAGGTAGTCAAGTTGATGACTTCATCATTGTCCAATCAGCATGCACGGAGGGGACACCATTGTATTAATTGACTGCAGAAGAAGAAGTGGTGTCACCTTCCTGGCTTTGTTGTCTGGTAGTGGTGTATGGAGCGCAAAAAAGTGGCTGCACAGAGTTACCAATCCTTTGGCAGATAAGACCGATGATATATGTGTATTCAGCTCTGTAAAGGAAGTTCAGTTCAAAGCAATGCGTAATAAAGGCCGGCGCATCTTTCGGAAGTATGAATGAGCCTTCAGTGTCCTGACAAGCCTGTGCACAGGAATGACTAGAACTTCATGACCGTTACCGGATCTGATACGCAATTAATCTATTTTGTGTTGAGCACCAGCCGATTCGTCACCGTCACATCGGGAGCAGATGTGGAATATTAGGTGGGTAATCGTCTAATTCCCAACACCTGCCACCAACTGGGACTCCCGACGGGACGGTGTGATGCACCTGAATCGTGTCGCGGCACTAGAAGGATTCATTTCTGAAAAATGCGATATTTGCAGAATATGGCAGAAAGAAAAGACATTAAAATGCAAATTTGTTGAAAGGGAAGCCGTGAGGACAGCTGCGATGTGTCAAACCCGAGGCTTCCATCCAGCCCTGGAGGCCGCTGTCACATGACCTTCCAGAAATGGTGCTAGTTCTTGGTGAAAATTTGAATCTTGCACCATTGCACAAGTCCCCGTAGTAGCACCAGACTCTAGATGTACAGCTCTACTGACAGGTTCTCTTTAAACTAATCCCATCCCTCGAGGAATAAGGATCAGTCCTCCAAAATGTATTCTGTTGTGTTAATGATTGCGATCCCTTATGACCAAATTAATTTGTGTTCTTGATGGGCTCATGGCCAAGGGACCGTCTGTTCTGAGTGGCCCACCAAGGATTCTGGGGAGGTATCCATGATGGGTCAGCTCTTTTTATCCTTTTGCATTGCTGTCTTGTGACTATGTAGCACCAGCTTCTAGATGTACAGCTCTACTGACAGGTTCTCTTTAAACTCATCCCATCCCTCGAGGAATAAGGATCAGTCCTCCAAAATGTTTTCTGTTGTGTTAATGATTGCACCTCCTTATGACCAAATTAATTTGTGTTCTTGATGGGCTCATGGCCAAGGGACCGTCTGTTCTGAGTGGCCCACCAAGGATTCTGGGGAGGTATCCATGATGGGTCAGCTCTTTTTATCCTTTTGCATTGCTGTCTTGTGACTATGCAGCTGTAAAGTTTGGTCTGGAGTGGTGATGGATCTGAAGGACTTCTGAAATTTTGGAGAATGGTGGCTTATTGAGGTGTCACTGATGCTCCTAGGCTGCTCCTGGATTGTAGTTGAATTCCGATGAGTTATCTCAGGAAAAACCTGAAGTGCAGAGGGAACTGGAGTGCCTCAAAGATGAACAGATGAGTTGGCTTTTGAACCTGCAGTCCGATCACATTCAAGAGGTTTAACAGAGGCCTGCCTTAGGTCACTGATGTCCCCAGAACCAGAGTAGGCCTGGCTACAACGGCAATTGTTCTTACATTAAGTAGACCACATTCCTACCATCTTCCTCCTCCTAGTGGATCTGCCAGTTATTGCAGATATGAACATAAATCCCCTGCATCTCTGACGGTGCAGGAATTTGGGCTGATTTGGGGCTGATCTGAGGGGTGAAGGTGCAGGATCTGGGGCTGATGTGAGGGGTGAAGGTGCAGGAACTGGGGCTGATCTGAGGTGTGTAGGTGCAGGAATTGGTGCTGATCTGAGGTGTGAAGGTGCAGGAATTGGGGCTGATCTGAGATATGAAGGTGCAGGGATTGAGGCTAACCTGAGGTGTAAAGTTGCAGGAATTGGGGTGATCTGAGGTGTGCGGGTGCAGGAATCGGGTCTGATCTGAGGGTGCAGAAATTGGTGCTGATCTGAGTTCTGAGGGTGCAAGAATTGGTGCTGATCTGAGGTCTGAGGGTGCAGGAATTGGTGCTGATCTGAGGTGTGAAGGTGCAGGAATTGGGGCTGATCTGAGATATGAAGGTGCAGGGATTGAGGCTAACCTGAGGTGTAAAGTTGCAGGAATTGGGGTGATCTGAGGTGTGCGGGTGCAGGAATCGGGTCTGATCTGAGGGTGCAGAAATAGGTGCTGATCTGAGGTCTGAGGGTGCAGGAATTGGGGTGATCTGAGGTCTGAGGGGGCAGGAATTGGTGCTGATCTGAGGTGTGAAGGTGCAGGAATTGGGGCTGATCTGAGATATGAAGGTGCAGGGATTGAGGCTAACCTGAGGTGTAAAGTTGCAGGAATTGGGGTGATCTGAGGTGTGCGGGTGCAGGAATCGGGTCTGATCTGAGGGTGCAGAAATAGGTGCTGATCTGAGGTCTGAGGGTGCAGGAATTGGGGTGATCTGAGGTCTGAGGGGGCAGGAATTGGTGCTGATCTGAGGTGTGAAGGTGCAGGAATTGGGGCTGATCTGAGATATGAAGGTGCAGGGATTGAGGCTAACCTGAGGTGTAAAGTTGCAGGAATTGGGGTGATCTGAGGTGTGCGGGTGCAGGAATCGGGTCTGATCTGAGGGTGCAGAAATAGGTGCTGATCTGAGGTCTGAGGGTGCAGGAATCGGGTCTGATCTGAGGGTGCAGAAATAGGTGCTGATCTGAGGTCTGAGGGTGCAAGAATTGGTGCTGGTCTGAGGGTGCAGGAATTGGGGTGATCTGAGGTCTGAGGGTGCAGGAATTGGGGCTGATCTGAAGGGTGAAGGTGCAGGAATTGGGGCTGATCTGAAGGGTGAAGGTGCAGGAATTGGGGCTGATCTGAAGGGTGAAGGTGCAGGAATTGGGGCTGATCTGAAGGGTGAAGGTGCAGGAATTGGGGCTGATCTGAAGGGTGAAGGTGCAGGAATTGGGGCTGATCTGAAGGGTGAAGGTGCAGGAATTGGGGCTGATCTGAAGGGTGAAGGTGCAGGAATTGGGGCTGATCTGAAGGGTGAAGGTGCAGGAATTGGGGCTGATCTGAAGGGTGAAGGTGCAGGAATTGGGGCTGATCTGAAGGGTGAAGGTGCAGGAATTGGGGCTGATCTGAAGGGTGAAGGTGCAGGAATTGGGGCTGATCTGAAGGGTGAAGGTGCAGGAATTGGGGCTGATCTGAAGGGTGAAGGTGCAGGAATTGGGGCTGATCTGAAGGGTGAAGGTGCAGGAATTGGGGCTGATCTGAAGGGTGAAGGTGCAGGAATTGGGGCTGATCTGAAGGGTGAAGGTGCAGGAATTGGGGCTGATCTGAAGGGTGAAGGTGCAGGAATTGGGGCTGATCTGAAGGGTGAAGGTGCAGGAATTGGGGCTGATCTGAAGGGTGAAGGTGCAGGAATTGGGGCTGATCTGAAGGGTGAAGGTGCAGGAATTGGGGCTGATCTGAAGGGTGAAGGTGCAGGAATTGGGGCTGATCTGAAGGGTGAAGGTGCAGGAATTGGGGCTGATCTGAAGGGTGAAGGTGCAGGAATTGGGGCTGATCTGAAGGGTGAAGGTGCAGGAATTGGGGCTGATCTGAAGGGTGAAGGTGCAGGAATTGGGGCTGATCTGAAGGGTGAAGGTGCAGGAATTGGGGCTGATCTGAAGGGTGAAGGTGCAGGAATTGGGGCTGATCTGAAGGGTGAAGGTGCAGGAATTGGGGCTGATCTGAAGGGTGAAGGTGCAGGAATTGGGGCTGATCTGAAGGGTGAAGGTGCAGGAATTGGGGCTGATCTGAAGGGTGAAGGTGCAGGAATTGGGGCTGATCTGAAGGGTGAAGGTGCAGGAATTGGGGCTGATCTGAAGGGTGAAGGTGCAGGAATTGGGGCTGATCTGAAGGGTGAAGGTGCAGGAATTGGGGCTGATCTGAAGGGTGAAGGTGCAGGAATTGGGGCTGATCTGAAGGGTGAAGGTGCAGGAATTGGGGCTGATCTGAAGGGTGAAGGTGCAGGAATTGGGGCTGATCTGAAGGGTGAAGGTGCAGGAATTGGGGCTGATCTGAGGGGTGAAGGTGCAGGAATTGGGGCTGATCTGAGGTGTAATGGTGCAGGAATTGGGGCTGATCTGAGGTGTAAAGTTGCAGGAATTGGGGTGATCTGATGTGTGAGGGTGCAGGAATCGGGTCTGATCTGAGGGTGCAGGAATTGGGGCTGATCTGAGGTGTGAAGGTGCAGGAATTGGGGCTGATATGAGGTGTGTAGGTGCAGGAATTGGGACTGATCTGAAGTGTGTAGGTGCAGGAATTGGGACTGATCTGAAGTGTGTAGGTGCAGGAATTGGGACTGATCTGAAGTGTGTAGGTGCAGGAATTGGGACTGATCTGAAGTGTGTAGGTGCAGGAATTGGGACTGATCTGAAGTGTGTAGGTGCAGGAATTGGGACTGATCTGAAGTGTGTAGGTGCAGGAATTGGGACTGATCTGAAGTGTGTAGGTGCAGGAATTGGGACTGATCTGAAGTGTGTAGGTGCAGGAATTGGGACTGATCTGAAGTGTGTAGGTGCAGGAATTGGGACTGATCTGAAGTGTGTAGGTGCAGGAATTGGGACTGATCTGAAGTGTGTAGGTGCAGGAATTGGGACTGATCTGAGGGGTGAAGGTGCAGGAATTGGGGCTGATCTGAGGTGTGAAGGTGCAGGAATTGGGGCTGATATGAGGTGTGTAGGTGCAGGAATTGGGACTGATCTGAAGTGTGTAGGTGCAGGAATTGGGACTGATCTGAGGTGTGTAGGTGCAGGAATTGGGGCTGATCTGAGGTGTACAGATCCCTGTTCTACATTGACACTCTGGTTGTCAAATGCTTGGAAATGACACTTAATGTGGACAAGGTTGCTGACGCTTGATGAATATAATAATACAAATGGAAGAGTGGTTTTGGCAAAGACCAGACTGTAAAATGGAACTGATAGTGGTTTAAAAATGAATTAATACAATCCACTTCCTCCATGCAGTGGTAGCTCCATGTTTTCATGGAATTATGGGAAGGAATTCAGTAGGCGCCATGATGGTCCAGCAGCTTTATGCAAGACAGTTATGGCTGTTACCATTTCCGGTTCTGTACAATATGGTCTATATCCCCCCTCAACCTGACCACTGAACCATCACGTTCTCAAACAATTCATCCCCACACAGCTCCCTCCTCATGTATCACTGGCCCCTCCATTTTACACTGTAAACCCTCAGGGGCAGGGCCCTCCTTACCATCTTGTCTTGAATTGTATTGTGATTGTAATGTCTTCCTTATATTGTAAAGCGCTGCGCAAACTGTTGGCGCTATATATTATTGTATAATAATAATATCGGGGTCATCAATGACACAGATATATAGTTGACTGTGTGCTGCTGGTAAGAGCGTGTGCGGGCTGAATGAGCGCCGAGGATCCATCGTTGGTTGTGTCTGCTCTAACTCTCTTCATATTCCCTTACAGGCTAAAGACAGCGATGACGATGAGGAGATTGTTCACGTGGATCGAGATCATTTTATGGATGAATTCTTTGAACAGGTAGTTTACTTAGAATTGTTATGTGTATGGCAGTACTGCTCACTTTTCAGTTCTGTCTGGATGCTGGAAAGGTGAATGCTGGATCCCAGTTGTGTCCTTCTCAGTGCGCTGTTCTCATGATGGTAAAAGCTGCTTCATTAGGTTGTGACAGGTTCTCTTTAATACCTCCCAGTCTCTAAAATAGAAACAATCTAATCAGTAAGAGCCTGTAAGTGAAGACACTTTTCTGGTCTGTGTTGGGTAAAATGCTTGCTCTCTTTATGCTGCTGGTTCCTGACAATCCTGAGTGTGTCAGATAGCTTGTTCCCCATGGGGCGCTGTGGCTAAATGTGTGAAATGTTGCCGAATTGCCAGGGCAGAAATGTTACACAGCATTAAATCTGGAAACCAAATGGTGTTGAAGGCCCCTCAATCCTGTTCAGGGATGGCTGTTCCCATTTGAAGTAGATGGACCCTTTTTACGCCTCTTTCGGACAAGTAGTCTTCTCTGTCCAAAATGTGCACCCCCCC